GCACATCCTGTCTAGCTCCCCCCCAGACCAGCATCACTTTTCCTTGGCTCATACATCTTGAGAATCGATGTGACCGCGCTGATCTCCAACCAGCACAGTTACAGATGCAGCCACTCAGAATGTGCAATATTTCTTTCAAGTGCGTTACCTGTAACGCAGAGCTTTGCATTATGTAATTCACTGGCCAAAAACGATCGATAGGTGGCATTTGTGATGTGTTAGATGTTAAGGAAACGATTGCTTCACTTAATCTGTTTCTCTGCTCTGCATGAATAAATCAACTTAATATGGAATTTTAGAACTAATGGGAAATTGTGGTACCTGAGTGTAACCAAGTAAAAAAAAAAGAACCTTCACCAAATCCCAACTCACTCTATGTAAATAGTTTTATTTGTGTTGCGTTGTTCATGTATGCTTGTTCTAAAGCCACTCTTGAGAACTTTGCTGATGGCTGTTCCGTCACTGTAAGAGACTTCCATAGTTGGTGATGTCATCATCGCGAACCTCTCAGTCCATACTTTGTGAACTGTAGAGGTAAGCGATATACTATAAGCAAGATAAGATAAGATCACTTTATTAGCCATATACAATTTCTTGCATTAGGAATTTGTCTTTTCGCATACCCCAGCTTGCTCTCCATGAGACACACCACAGACAGGCAGGGAGAGAGCTTGGGGTCAGAGCGCAGGGTCAGCCATTGTACAGCACCCCTGGAGCCCCAATATACACAAATATATATATATATTTAAGTTGCTCTGAAAATAAATTGATTTATAACCAATAGAATCTTATTAACATTCTACTGTGCAGTTGTTTATGTTCAATCGAGTACTGTAAGCATTAAGTGACTCCATTAAACTGGTGTATTGCATGGAAATACCATCTTTGTGAGTTTTGTGTGAGACATGAGCTTCCTACAGGTCTTCCCATGTGTGGCCTTTTTACTACAGGAGACCGATAACCTGTATTTAAGAAGCAGCTTTCTACATGTCTACAGCTTCCTGTTTATTTTTGTTATAATAGAGGTATGTTGTATTTCCTGATTGTATTTCGTGTGTTTTATGTAGAGTCACAGTGCAGAGTGTTGAGTGGAAATTTGTTTTGGTTGTAAAACGTAACTTTTTAAATGTTTCTTGCGTCTAATAATACCGTTCAATAAGTATTGGTAAATACTTTGTCAATATTAGGTTATTTCATCATGAACTGCGCAGTCCATACTTTGTGAACTGTACAGGGGACTGACAACCTGTATTTAAGAAGCAGCTTTCTGCATGTCTACAGCTTCATGTTTATTTTTGTTATTATACAGACGACTTCATGAAAGAACTGCCAGATCCAGATTGTTCATTTTTCACGTCAGTCAAACGGATGTCTGAATAAGAACACAACGTAGAAGACTAACATGCAGTTAACCGCGCACAGAAGACGTCCATTACATGAGCATAGAAATAATGGAAGAATAATGTCTCTGAACATCATAAAAATATTAATTTAGGAATATAAATATATTACACATACTGTATTTGGCTGGTAGTGTTAGCTAAAAAATACAAATACACAACAGTATTCATCCTTCTTCAGAAACATTTTATGCATCAAAGTCTTTAACTTGGCCACTTACTGAGGTTATTTTGGAATTAGTTAGTTAGTTTTGATGTACTCGTTCTGACTATATTAAGATTATATACTTTATAAAATGCTATAATGTTTTATCCTTTCTTGTCGTTATTGTAAAAAATGTTGTAGGACTTTTTTTAAATTCATTTAACAGGTTATATTAATATGGAATTATGTAACTAAAGAAATTGTGGTCGCTGAAAATAGTTTCTTAACATCATTAACGATAATCATTTATGAATCTACATATAATATATATAGCTGGTAGTAGAACTACTGGTACAATGGATTTAATTTACTGTTTGAAAGCTGGAAAAATACAGTCAATACATGAAGAGACAATGCTGTATAAAGTCCATTATTTTAAAGTCCCTAAAGTCATCTTAACAATAAAGGCTTGACTGTACATAGCTGTCCCTGATTGGATCATAACAGAAACCTCCTTAGTGAAAGGTAGAGTACAAATCAAGGGCAGA